TTATGGCTTCCAGGATGAGTAGGTGGTCTCAGGGGAACTTTTGGCATATGATAGTTCTGGTTGTGTTAGTAAGGTTATTGTTGATACGAGGATCACAGAGTGCTGCCTATCTTAGATTATCATTTTGTTATATGCTTTTTAGTAAAATTTTCATTGCCATACAAAGAAATTAAGGAGAGAATCTTATAATGGAAAATTCTGACTTGCGAATTCAAATCATAATCTGAAATGCTACTTCTTGATGACAATTTTGATTGATGAAACTTAAGAGGGACATGCTAAAAAGTTGTGGAGGATGCTTCAAAATTTAGGGGCTTCAAATCATAATCTCAAATGCTCCATTGGTTTTTGTTCACTATTTGATGATGAGAGATTAATCTATAAAGATGATCCAAAAGAAAGGCTTTTGTAGATTCCATAACGTATAAGAGATTTACAAAAAAAAAACCATGAGACCCAAAACCAATCATTTATTTTGCATAACAGATGCAGATTAAATTCTTGGTGCAATTGGTAATATTCGTTTGGTTTATCCGTTTCTTTGTACTACCAACTGAATATTTGCTTCTAAAGCTTGCAATTGATGTAATGCTACAAGTCACTATGTTATTTGTATGACTCTTAATATAGGTGTTGTTTATTTTGGAATGAGTAATATTTACATTGTTAACTAGTGATATAGCTACCCTGTACTAAATCTAGTATTTTACACTCTACAGTCATTGGCATAGCATGTGAACACAATTAATGCTTGCTTCTTTTTTTTTTTAATCTATTTAGCTTCTATGTATTCTTTCTCAGATAATTCGCATTGTGGCACCAAGTATATTATTTGGCAATATTCTTCTGTGTTAAAGTTGTTTGCAACTGTAATTTTATTAATTGTTGTTGTTCATTGCTTTTTCTACAAGAGCATGAAGATACTTGAAATAGAGTAATGCCCTTAAAAAATTATTGTACTTCTGTTTTTGGAGTCTATGATTTATTTGGATATTCAAGCCCCATCAAAGATGTAAGGACTTAAATCTACGGTTGAAATCTTATACTACAATGTA